AACAAATGGAAGTTTGTTTATCCTGAGGTGGTTTGTGCCAGGAGAGAGAAAAAGAAGAATCACTAGCTTTAGCAGAATCTAGGCAGAGTATGCTCTTTTTAATAAAACAAGAACTGTGGATGCTGGAGATCTGAAACAAAACCAGATATTGTTGGAGAAACTCAGCAGGGTCTGGCAGCGTCTGTGGGGGCGAAGCAGAGTTACTGTTTTGAATCCAGTGACTCTTAATCAGAACTCCTTTTTAATTAAATTCAAAACCTTTCTTTTATCTTTCACTGAGGAGGTTGCTTAAAAGTAGCACCACAGCACAATTCACCTTTAGTGGTCAGTTTGTGTGAATCATTAGATTCAAATATCATAACTACAATTTTCAATGCCATTTGTACTACAGGTTTCACTGGGCCTTCCATCATGTTTATCATGTAAAGACTTTACCAGGTGGTTTTGAGCTAGTATACATCAGGAACATTCGCATCTACTCTCCTCATAGGAGCTGACTGATATTGCTGATTACAGACTCAGAGTGCCATTGTTGCAGGCATTTTCTGTTTAAAGCTAAACTGAGCACAAGGAAAGGTTAAATAACAGCCTCGAAGCGTCATCTTCAGCTGTCTCTCAAAACAAATATTGGGATTGCTGTGTCCATCACAATGGTGGGCCTAAAGATATTTACCCCGACATCAGCTTGTGTGTAGCCGGTGTCTAAAACAGCACTATGTTATTATTCAGGACTGTTTGCTTAGAACTGCTTCGTCATCAAGGTGCTCATTAATATGCTGGAAACAATCCACAGTGACTTCAAATAAAGAGCATTTCAACCTTTGAGCTTTACTCTGCTATAGATCTCCCTACTCCTACACTGATGTCAGCAAGAGTTTACGAGAATTCTTGCTGCAGTTGGCACAGTGATCAAAAAGCAGACATGGGCACCATTCCAAAAGAACAAAAGGATGTAGGAGCAGAGGTAGAGCATTCCGCCCAGAGTGCTCGCCACCATTCAATGAAATCATGGCTGATCTGATCATCCTCAAAATCAATTTCCTGCCTTTTCCGCGTGACCCTCAATTCCCTTACTGATTAAAAACCTGTCTAAGAATCTCACTCTTGAATATACTTAATGACCCAGCCTCAATGGCCCTCTGCAGTAAAGAATTCCACAGATTCACTGCCCTCAGAAGAAATTCCGCCAATCTCCATCTGGAATGGGTGATCCCTTACTCTGATATGACACTGTCTGGTCCTAAACTCTCCTACACGAGGAATTAATCTCTCAGCACCTGTGTGTGGAGTACAAATTACCCAACTAGGGTTGACGAAGGCACCACAGTTAAAATAACAGACTGGTATTGGCAAAGGGTCACAGGTATCCAATCACTGGGCATACAATGGAATTCAGACTAAAAATTAATTTGAGTATCATCACTCTTCAGCTTTATAATCAGTTTTTAACATATACCAGACTTGGCATTGACGGATATCAATTGCTAAGTTGTTCAAGCAAGCACAGCCATCAGTTGCCTCAAAATAGAAATGCCAGTCAGAAGAAGTCACTGAATTAGCCACTGTAACCCTCCACTCTTCCAGCTCCTACACCCAACTGCTCAGTGTGAGAACACCATAGATGGTGCAACCACACATAAAAGAAGCAAAATCTAAGCCAGTGGATAATGCGTTCACTTTTGTTTTAAGGGTTCAATCTTTGCCCTTTAAAACATCATGTGAATTTCGGATTCCTTCAATGACCAATGCTTTATTTACCAGGGTTCCCTCTGCCATTTGGAAACTACCAAGCCCAAGCTTTCAGCTCTTGATTCAAGTGGAGAGAAGGAAAGACATGAGCTTCCCATTTACAGTTCACAAGTTCAATTTTAGATTCCACTTAGTCTTTTCACAACTAACACCATTTCAGTCATACTCAGACTCCTTGCAATACAACATAATCTGCCAACGGTAACTGAAATGATGTGTTCTGAAAGGTATTGGCCTTTCAGTCCCTCCAAGCTGTTTATGATGTTGCTGACCCTTACCTTGCAGAGTATTTCTGTATTGCCTCCTTTCGTATGGCTCTAAGAAGTGAAGAAGTTTTAAATGAAGCGAGTGGTTTTGGAACCAGAAAGCCAACTGGTAACTTGCCCAAAATTATGGCCGTTGCCTATAATCACATGTTAACTACAAACAAAATTTCGCTCCCTTGAAATGATAAATGCACTCCAACTTCAATCACTTAAATACCACTCAAAGCAGCTTTTGAAGTTGGGCCACTGCACATGCAAGGTGCAGGCAAAAGCCTTTAATCTGCAAACTAGTCAGGACGATGGAGCTATACTGTGGGGTCAGTTAGATTGAACTGCACACAGTACTCCTACTGTGGCCTAACCAGTTTTGTACAGCTCCAACATAACCCCTCTGGTCTTTTAACTATGCCACAACTGATAAAGGCAAGTGTCTCAAATGCCTTCTTAACTACCCTAGTAATCTGTCCTGCTGCCTTCAGGGATCTGTGGACAAGCATCCTAAGATCCCTCTATTCCTCTGAGCTTTTAAAATCATAACGTTCAAGTTATGGGACATGTGCTGGGAAGTGGGTCTAGTGTAGATTGAGAGTAGTTTTTGTCAGCGCAGACTCGATGGGCCAAAGGGCCTCTTCTGTATTGTATGATTCTATTCTATAAAATTAGGGATCATGCTTTCAGCACAGGGATAAGGGGAATATTTTTTCTCTCTCAGAGGGTTGTGAAGTTTTGGAACTTTCTGCCTCAGAAAGCATTGGAGGCAGGATCACTGAATATTTTTAAGGGTGGGTCGATGGATCTTGTTAGGCCAGGCAATTTTCTGGAAGGACAGGGCAGCAGATGCATGGGAGTACTAGCACCTGCAAGTTTTCCATCAAGCTACTCAAATATCACCGTTTGTTCAGTGTCGCAACACCAAGATCCTGGACCTTCCTCCCAAATGGCATTGTGGCTGTATAACACCAAATGGAGAGCAGCAGTTCAAGAAGGCAGCTCACCGCCAACTTCTCATGGACAACTATGGATGGGCAATAAATGCTGGCCAGGCAACAATGCCTACATCCTACAGTACTGAGTGATTTGGAACAAAACAAATGGAAGTTTGTTTATCCTGAGGTGGTTTGTGCCAGGAGAGAAAAAAAGAAGAATCACTAGCTTTAGCAGAATCTAGGCAGAGTATGCTCTTTTTAATAAAACAAGAACTGTGGATGCTGGAGATCTGAAACAAAACCAGATATTGTTGGAGAAACTCAGCAGGGTCTGGCAGCGTCTGTGGGGGCGAAGCAGAGTTACTGTTTTGAATCCAGTGACTCTTAATCAGTTCTCGGGGTAGGTGGGAAAGTGGAATTGAAAACACAAGTGGATCAGCTGTGATCATACTGAGTGGTGGAGCAGGCTTCGGGGACCTAGTGATCTCCTTCTGCTCCTATATTCATGTGTTCAATGCAAAATCTCAAAGCGTACTTCAGGAAGATAGATGCAATGCGCAGTCATTTCATATTCATTATGGACATTAACCATTTTGAGGTTAAATATTCTGAAGAAGGGTTACTGAACTCAAAACCTTCACTCTGCTTTCATTTCACAGATGCTGGGTTTCTCTCGCAATTCCTGTCTTTGTTTCATCATTTTAATGGCTCACCGTGAAATAATCTGCTCACTCTCAATCCTGTTCCTGGGAACTCCACAGTATAAAGCATCCCATACCTCTGTATCATCTGAAAGGTTTGATCACAAAGGCCTCAACAATAAACAACACAGCAATGAAAATGTTACACAGAATTTACAACACAGAAACAGGTCTATGCTAGTGTTTATGCCCCATATAAGCCTCCCCCAACTCTAATGTTTTGTAATCCCATCAAGCTATCATTCTCTTCCTTTGTATATATGGGGAAAAGTTCAGGAAGATCACACCACATCTGCTTGTGCTATACCGAATTTGATACTCCCAATTCGACGCCTTCAGTCTCTGAAGTGAAGATATATTTGCACTTTTCATCCGAGACATCTATCACCTTGATGAACACAGAAATATAGCACTCCCTGTTACCACACTCTTCAAGCACATTGCTAAAACAAATTAATTTCATTGAATTTTAATTAATTTATATCAGCATGTGCTCTCACTTCCTGTCAGCCCAGTCTGTCTTTCTCTCTGATTAAAGCAGACACCTTCTCTGTCTGGTTGGTAATGCAGCTGGTGGTAGATTGTATCTTATCCTGTCTTGTAGGGATGAACATTTCAGCAATCGTTCTCTTCAAAAGAATGATTCTTTGGCATATTCTTATTCCCCCTTTCTATCTTGACCTAACATAATTTCTTTCAAACAATAAAAGGATGCAACAATAAACTGTTACTCATGCAAAATTTTCATTCAATGAAGAGGCTTTGTCAATCACTTCTTTCAAAGATGAGGTTGAATATTTATTTATGCACTCACCCCAGCAGCAAAACCAAGACTTCCATCCAGTATTTGTTTCTGTGTGAGACAGAGATGAGAATGTCATTAAAACACTTGGAACAAGAAGAAGTGAAGAATTTATTGAATGCTATTGACATCCTTCAGACTTCATTGGCTTCAATACCCCAAAGACAAAAACCAAATTTGCACATTCCAAGATTTCACAAATAACACTGAAACGAATGACAACTGTTTGGGGCATGCATGTTGCTCAACGTCAACATTATTGTCCCAAAACCATCAAAACTCACAATGTTCCATATTACAGCCTTGAAATCCAGTAATGTGCAAATATTGATCACTCACACTCATAGGAAGTGAATACTTCCTAATAGTAATGTCTGTGGCACTTGGCATGGAAGAATTCTCTCTGAAAGAGATTAGCTTTTTCAAAACAAAAGTCAATAATTTGTTCTGCATAAAAAGTTTTCAAGAACACCACACCATTCTTTCACTGTCTAATAAGCTTTGATCCAATAAGCTTTGGATCACTAGAACACTAAAATCAATAGAAGCAAACCTCATTGTTTGCTTGCACAATTACAAACAGTAATAGGACACAGCCATGGTCATCCTTCAGAGTGAAGAGGTCATCCCTAAGACCTTAGACAATGGAAGCTGTGAGATAAAATAAGGATCCTACATGTCCTTAATACAATGTTCAGCAATATGCCATTCTAAGCATTGAAGACAAGTACAATGTCATTAATTAGATAACTAACAAAAAGCAGTCATGGTAAACTTGTGCAAGCCTGTTCTGAAAAAAATCCAACTGTCAATTGGATTACAGATAAAAGGTAAATGCAGTATTTCTTTTTTTATGCTACAAAGTTAAATATTTTGTTTTAAGATGAGTTTGGTTAGAAGTACATTATCAACAAATGGATTTCAGAAAACCACTTTCTAAACCAGAAATGTTTTGAAACCATGCCAATTTTCCACAGGTCTTCAAAACCAGACAAGGTTCAGATCATCAATCAATCTCCAAAAGGGCATTTTCAAACAGCAATGTTAAAATAATCAGTGTTGTTGGAAAAAGAAAGGACTCAATAATTTCTGTAGTAAAATTATGAAGTCGCTACACAAAGGGCATTCCCCTGGCCGACACTTATCCTTCAATCAACATCAATGAAAGAAACGCCAGATAATGTGATCACTTTTATCACTGCTTGTTTTGGCCATGGAGTTTGGTGCGAGATGACTGCACATTTCTCTACATTCCAACAATGACTACGTTTTTTAAAATACATAATCGGGTATAAATAAAACTCTGAAAGATCACGAAAAGGTGTTATAATCAATATTTTACTGAATATTTCCCAAAAAAAATGTTATTTTCATTGTCAACCTTTTTACAGTGGACCTGTATCAAATTGCAGAGCAATGACTTTAAAAGTATTTTGCCCCCTGTTCGCATTCCTCGAAGAGGGATGGTCCATATCTTTCATAGTGTTTCATTGTGCACAGTTCAGCATCTGACGACAGAACTAAAATGTCTTATTATGGTGACTCTAAAATAAGGAAGCTAACCTATTTTTAAAACCACTTAGATGAACAAGTTGATCAATGAAGAATGTTGTTTTCTTAATACATTCATTCATTCATGGAAGATGGGCATTACTGGCCGAGCCAGCATTCATTGCCAATCCAGAAGTGCCCTTGAAAAGGTGGTGGTGAGCTGTCTTCTTGAACTGCTGCACTCTACTTTGTGTAGGTAGACCAAATATGCCATTAGAGGCGGGAGTGTCAGGAATCTGACCCAGCGACAGTGGGAATGGTAATATATTTCCAACTCAGATGGTGTCTGGCTTGGAGGGGAACTTGCAGGTGGTGGTATTCTCATGTATCCACTGCCCTTGATAATAGTGGTCATGGACTTGGAAGGTGCTGTCAAAAAAGCCTTGGTGAATTTCTGCAGTGCATCTTGTAGATGGTACACACTGTTACTGAGCGTGACTGGCAGACAGAGCGGTTGTTTACAGATGTGATACCAAATCAAGCAGGCTGCTTTCTCCAGGATAGTGTCAAGCATCTACAGCAATACGGTGGCTCAGTGGTTAACATTACTACCTCACAGCGCCAGGGGCCTGGATTCAATTCCAGGCTTGGGTTACTGTCTGTGTGGAGTTTGCACATTCTCCATGTCTGCATGGGTTGCCTCCGGGTGCTCCAGTTTCCTCCCATGGTCCAAAAATGTGCAAGTTAGATGGATTGGCCATGCTAAATTGCTCATAGTGTCCAGGCTTGTGTAGGCTCTGTGGATTAGCCATGATCTGATCTGTTTTTGTAGCTGTTGTATTTATATGGCTAGTGCAATTCAGTTGCTGGTCAACTGTCAGAATCCCAGGAAATTGATAGGGGGGGATTCAGTTAATGGTAACACCATTGGGTATCATGGGGTAATAATTAGACTCTCATACAGAGTCATAGCATCATACAGCTCTTGGAGAGAGTCACTGCCTGACACTGGTATAGTGAATGTTACTTGTCACTTCTCAGCCCAAACCTGGATAACGTCCAAGTCTTGCTGCATTCAGAGGTGAACTGCTTCAGTATCTGAGAAGTTGCAAATGACGCTGAATATTGTGCACTTAATCAATGGTTTAACTGGTTTAACTGGTTCTAAGTCTTGGCCAGAGACTAATTCAATATTCACACTTCGGATTCTGGTCCAAATTAATAAAGAAGAGTTGTTCCTGTCTCCGAGATGAAGTATGGAAGCCAGTGATAACAAGCATACACCAAAGAAATGCAATAAATTTAAAATCTAGTTTTGTTGAGGAATGAGGCTCAGAAAAAAAAAACTGCAGTAACTTAGATGAGGTAGAAAAATTAAAACTGAGAAGAGGCAGAATGGAAAAGATGACTACCACCCAAACATACCTATTTCAATGAGCAGGAGTGGACCCTTCAGCGCTCAAGTCTACCTGCCATTCAAGGCTGTGGTCCCAACTCTGCTTTTCTACCTGTCGCCATTAATCATTTATCCACTTTGTCAGTCAAGAAACCAGAACTAAGGAGTTTTAATCTTTTGTCATTTTATGTGAAATTGTTTTAATCATTTACTTTTAATGGGTTAACGAAGAACAGTACAGCACAGGAACAGGCCCTTCAGCCCACCAAGACTGTGCTGACACATGATGACTGTCTGAACAAAAAGCCTTTTTGCCTCTATGCAGTCCATAGTCCTATGCACTCTATTCCCTGCCTTTTCATGTATCTGTCAAGATGCCTCTTAAACATTGCTATTGCTATTGCTATTGCATCTGCCCCAACAACCTTCTCAGATACAGCATTCCAGGCACTTTCCACCTCTTCTGTAAAAAAAACTTCCCTCTATCTCCTTTAAACTTTCCCCCTTTTACCTTAAACCTATGTCCCCTAGTAACAGACATTTCTACACTGGGGAAAAGACTCCAACTTTCCAGTCTATCCGTGCCTCTCATAATTTTGTAAATTTCTATCAGGAAACTTCTACCTAACACTGTAATCGAAAGGCTGCATCAGATAGCTCAGCGACTGCATCAAAACAATTTGCTTTCATAGTGTCGTCTGCATTATAAAAAGGCCCAAGGGCGCTGAATAGAAATGGAATTAAAGCAAAAAGCATTAAAGTGAATTAAAGGAGAAGGTTATTCTTGATGAAGCAGTGTCTTAAAAGCAGAGAACAGAAGAATTAAAGAGACTAAGGAAGGAAATTCCAATGCTTAAGGCTTAGGCAGATGATGCTGCACTGTTAAGGGTGAGGCAAATGTAGTCAGGGATTACAGTAAAGTTCACTACCACTATAAATCAGAAAAGCATACCAGCTGAGCAATATGATCATTTCCCTCTTCCCCTCAGCAATCCAAGTTCTAACAACAAGCTACAGTATTCAATTTAATTTAATGCTTTTCCTGTTTCTGTACTTACTAGCTATATCTTTGTTCAGGCTGGTATCCATGAAGGGCAGAACAAGAAAAATCAGTTCTCAAATGACTATGAAATTCTCATTGAGTCTGATCCACAATCCCTTGTCAGATCAAATTCAAGTCGTCACTAACTAACTGTAAACAGCTAGAATGCGTGCTTAAAATACCAAAGGATAGGGTTATGGTGTGTAAGTGATCTTTTTTCTCTGTTTAAATCTATACTTTTTTCAGTCTTTGCTTTACACTGCATTATATCAGGCACTTATTCAAAAATGCCAATTTGTTCATTTTGAATTATGCCTATGTTACAAGCTGAACAAAGACAATGGAATCAAACATGTTACAACTCTATTTGGATTTCTGTTTTCTGCATTTCTAGCAACAGTTTTTACATCAACTCATAATCACAACCACTCTTTAGTAAATAGTACTCAGTAAGCTGCAAAATTCAAAATACCAAAGGCCAAACACCATCAAGTATCAGCAACATTAAGGGAAAATATTGGCCAGTTGAAGACTGTACAGTTGCTTAGAGTGTTGGTTGAGGAGGACAAGCAAATCATAACCAGAAGCAGTTAGAAACTAACTTCTACGCAAAAAGTAGATTACATGACATCCTCAAGTCAGCTCTTAGCCTTGGATGTTTATAATGTTACCATTTCGCATGGAGTTCTTTCGTTACTTTTAGTGCTAAGAGCAGCTGACAGCACATTCCATGTCCTTTCAAAAGTAATGCTCCAATATTGTACCCAAATAAATCTCCATAAAACCATTAGGAAAATCAATAGATCAGTCAATCGGCCCTCAAGTCTGCTTTAATTAAGCCAAGCTTCCTCAGTGCCTCAACTCTATACAGAATACTTTGTTTCTTCCTTCCAATGACAAAAAAGAAACTGCAATTCCAATCTCACTCCTAAAAGCTCCAGTTGTCACAGCATCCACAGCTAATTGAGGATAACATTTCAGATCATTGCCACCCTATGTCTGGAAAAAGTGCTTCCTAATTTCTGTCCCAAAATGCCTCCTTCCAACGTTAAGATTAATCCTTGATTTTTCCACCAGAGGCAACAGTGTACATCCAGAGAAAACTAAAAGAAAAACGTTTTA